CAGACACACAGACTTCACTTTATCTCTTTTATCAAAATAAAAATGATCCCCCAAACTAGTGGTGTGCCTGAAATGAAGATGACTATTTTATAAACAGAACAATAAATGTTGGCAAGGGTGTGGAGAAAGTAGAGCTCTTGGGCATTGTTGGTGGGGATGTAAAACAGTAGAGCTGCTGTGGAAAAGGGTATGAGAGTTCCCGAAACTGTTCAACACAGAGTTGCCATATGATCCAGCACTTTTGTTTCCATGTATATTCCCAAGAGAACTGAAAGTAGGAACTCAAACAGCTATGTGCAGAACACCAAAAGGTTCATTGCAGCATTCTTCACAACTGCCAAAAGTGGCATCTGTGGTTTTATCTTGCTTGTACAAAATAAAGCCTGTTTGAAGATCAGAGACTGGAGTTTGCCATTAGCTAACCATAGAGGTCTGGAGGTCTATACAGACAGACAGGAAGTGAGATGGCTGGGCAGAGGGAGGAAAATAGGCACGTTCATGTCTGTTGAGATGCTAAAGATGTAAGGTGTGGCAGTGACTTGCTCCTTCTCTCTGATCTCTTAGCATTTTCTTCTATGTCTGACTCTGGGTTTTTATTACTTAGACAAATTAAGAATTTCTTTCATATTTTGGCACCCAGTGTGGGGTGCTGTTAAATCCCAAGGGGAACCTGAGAAAACCCAGAGCCCTGGCCAAATCCTGGATGTAAGTCTGTGGGGCTGTATGGTTTTAACTGTTGGGTCACCTGGTCCACTGCTTCAGGAGGTCTTGCATGATAAAACCCTATTAGTCTGGAAGGAATTCACAAATAGTGGCAAGTGTCATTCTCTGACCTTCAGACAGACTTTATTTATACAAACAAGATATCACCATAGGCAACAACCCAACAGAGGAATGGATAAAGCAGATATAATGAGCACACAGAGGAAGACTGCTCAAGTTTTCAAAGCCTTTACAACATTGATCTATGCTACAACATAGGTAAACCTTGATGTATTAAGTATATTAAGTCAGATACAAGGAAACGGGGTCAAGTACTGTATGATTCGACTTATATGAACTACCTAGAGCAATCAATCAAATGCAGAGAGAAAGTAGGAGGGTGTTTTCCAGCAGCTTATGTGTGGGAAGTTTGTGCTTATAAGGAACAGTATCTGTTTGATATGGTGAAAACATTCTGGAGATGGATGGTATTGATGTTTACATGCTGGTATGAATGTACTTAAAACCACCCTTTGGTTGAACATGGTTAAAATGGGGCTGACAGTGTAGCTCAGTGGTAGAGCACTTGTCTAGCATGCATGAGGTTCTGGTTTTGATATTCACAGCTGAAAATAAGAAGTTAAACTGGGCGATGGTGGCACTCACCTTTAATCCCAATACTTGGGAGGCTGAGGCAGGTGAATCTCTGTGAGTTCAAGGCCAGCCTGGCCTACAAAGTAAGTTCCAGGCTTATCCAGAGCTACTCAGAAAGCATGTCTCAGGGGTAAAAAGTTAAAATAGTAAATTTTATGATATACATAAAAGCATATGCCACAATTTAAAAAAAAACAGCAGTGGACCTTACGTTATATAAATTCCTCATTTCTAATTCAGCTCCACAGTCATTTTTAAAAAACAAAATAATTGCATGTAACAAATGGCACATGTATGTCTGGTTGGCATGGGATCTGTTGAACTAGTCTGGAGCAAGATGATAAAATGGTTTAAATAAACCTGATCTAAGATAAACTAAAAATTTCAATGGACTTGAGATCTTTGTCTTTGGGTGTTAAAGAAAAGGCCCCATGTTTGGTAAAATAAAATGTACTCATTTCATTCCAAACAACAGGAAATAACTTTGTTTTTAGAGAATAAAGGAATATAGTGGCAGATCATTTAAAATGATATCATACCACCAGCCTGTGATTGAGGTGCTAATATTTAAAAAGAATGCTTCTGCTCTGTGAATTCAGATGCTCCAAAACAAAAATAATGGAGCTGCCTTAAGAAGACCAGTATCCAAAGCAAACCCTGCATGCTGGGCCAACATCCCTTAACCCAGCATCCTTCACTAACTGCCATTTGGAGACAAACAGCATCAACCCCAACATAAGCAATCATGCTTCAACATTGAACTCATGTAGAGCTCTTCTTTTGAGACAGAGGGTCATTCAGAGATAATACACACAAGGAGAGGTAACAGTGAGTCTTTGTCTAAAAGGTGTTACTGTTTGGATCTGGTCTGTCCTCCCAGGTGCCTATGTATTACAGGTTTGCTCTTGTGGACTGCTCTATTTGGAGGCCAAATGAGGAGTCTTCTCAGCATGGTGTGTGAACGCTGCCCCCCTTTTCTTTCCTTTTTCTCCCTTCCCTTAGGTGCCACAAGGTGAGTAGGTTCCTCCCACTCTTCTGCCACAAGCACAAAAGCCTTCCAAACAGTGAGCCCAAATCATTTTTTCATATTCCTCTCCCTTTTTCTTTCTCTGTCTCTCTCTCTCATAAAGAAAGCTTTATTTATGACACACATCCTAAGAATGTGTTGCACATGGTGCAACTACTACCTAAAATGTTCATGTATATTAAATTAAACTCACCTTAGTAGTGTGCAAGAAATAAACTTGTCTTCTTAAGTAGTCTTAGGTATTTTGTTACAGTAATGTAAAGCTCATTAACACAGAAGGCTTTACTTTGCTATTTGGGATGGATTATAGGCTACCTTCTGAGTATATCTTAAGATAACTTAGAAGAATCAATTAATAGTAGTTAAATACATAAAATTATGTAAGTAAAAAAATAATTATTTGGGGCCTGATATCCCACCAGTCAGACTGAATAAGTAGGAATTGGAAAGCCGATCACAGCAGTTAATAGTTTGCTGGCTTTAAATTCTTAAAATTGTCATTGTGGCAGACAGCCTCCAAGATAGCCTCCTAGGGCCCCATTCCTGCTCTTTACATCTTTATGTAGTGTCCTCCCACAATAGATAAGAAGCAAATTCAAATACTCCTTTGGCCCACCTCAGCAGCACAAATACGTGAGGCAGGTTAGGGAAGGCAAGCAAGGAAAATGATATGGCCATGGTAGTTAGCAAGTCAGACTCCTCCTCAAAGAAATATAAACACCAAGAAAGCCAAGTAATCAAGTAAGTCTGCTTTTGTTTTTGTTGTTTTTAGAGACATGTTGTTGCTATGTAGCCTAGACTGGCCTGGAGCTCACATAACACAGGCTGGCTTGGAATGGTAAAGTTCTGCCTATTGGATTTGATCTCCCAAACACTAAACTGTATCCAGTGCCATAAGCAAAGGAAGACCGTGTATATGTAGAGTTTAGGTCTCACTCGATGAAGAACTGTTTGTGTGCAGAACCAACTGTAAAGTACATGCAAAGCTGCATATCAATCCCATGGTACCAAATTTCGAACCTTAAATCTTCTATTTTGTGCCTTTCTAAGACTAGATTATTTGTATCAGTACTGTAGTTGCAGGTAATGCAGGTCCCCTGTTTTAAGAAATGAGTTCCAGTCACAAATCCACAAATAAAGAATTATTATAATAATAGCATATTCATGAAAAGCAAATTACTTATCTTGGCGTTTAACATCCTTGTAACTATTCCTGTACTTTTAATGTCAACAGAAAAAAAAAGTAATGTCTAAGTCTGGCTGATACAGTAAATTAATGTTAATAACAGTTTTGACACTAATAGCAAGTTTTTAAAAGAAAAACCTCCAGTCTCTAAGCTGGGTTTCATTTCTTAAGACTCACCTCCGCTTGCTGTCACCAGACTTCCTAATAACAATTCCAGCTGCCTTTTCGTCTTTGCTGGGAGCCTGAAAAGACTGCAGGTATAACGTTGCTATGAAATGATATCCTTTGCCTGCCTTTGCTCACCCCAGGTGGAGAAAGTATCCACCCAGTTATCCATCCACTCAGTGAGCTACAATCTGGGGGCTTCTGACAGAGCCACACTCCTGAAGCACCGTAACCAAATGAGCTGTTATGTGGCTTCATTAAAAACCACTCTCTGTTTCTTCAGAGTCAGAAAATTGTGAAGAAGCAAAGGCATACCCTGGATCAAAAGGGAAAGTTCAGAATTCATATACTAATGAGAAGAGAACGGAGAGAGTCTGTCTTTGTGGTCTTCCCTAGTGCCATGCATAGACAAGAATGGGAACAAATGGGCCATGAATGAAATCATCTGAACTGAAAATGAACCAAAAAAGTGAGAAGGAGACCAGTGTATGGTTTCTGCTCTCCTGCCAGTCCTTGCTGGGAAGTCTTAATAGCTCAATTAGCCCTTCCTTTCAAACTCAGCATACAGTTAGAATATAGGTAGCTTAGAACACCTTCTATAACATGGTAGAGGCCAATGGGCTATAAGCATCTCTTCCAATTCTCAGAACATTGTTCTTTCTGTAAATAACTGAGTGTTTTACTTCTAGATAATCTTATAATGAAGGAACTCAAATGAGCAAAGACACTAGTAACAACTCAAATACAATCAAGTGGACATAGATTCCTTAGAGTCCTCATATAATAACAGGAAATCTTGGCTGTTTCACATTAAGGAAAGCAAATGGACCAATTTCTTTGTGTTTTAAAAAGAAAGTTAGCTTGGGGATAGAAAGCCCCAGCAACCTGTCTCATCTCTCCACACTTAGATGTGGGGTCACAGCTGTGCACAGGATGTATGGCTTTGTTACACAGGTACTGTATACCAAGCCCAGTTCCTCATGATTATGCAGCAAGTACTCTTATTGGCTGAGACAGGAGGATTGCTGGGGCTTCCCGACTTCCATCATAGCCAAGAAAACAGAAATGGAGAAGACCCTACTTACTGTGCCATTTGGCACCATACTGAGGGATGAATCAGTAACTGAATAAGGACATGGACTTGGAGTGACGTGAAATGATGTTCAATGAAAGGCCACTGATAAAGGACATTCTTGAGTAGTTCCATGAAAGGAAGATAAGCTGAAAATACCTGCCATTTCTACACCAATTAAAATAACTACATACCCATGCACCATCTGGCCCAAATAGTTCCAGGAAGTTGCCAATGAATTCTCTTGATTTTTCTTCCCACTTTTGAATTAGGTCATGACTCTTTTCTTCTACTCTGTTAACAAATTCCTTTGATCTTTCCTCCACATTCTTGACCTTTTCTTTCATCTTGTCCACTTGGTTCTGGAAACGATACTTCTTCTCCTGGTGAAAATAAATGGAATAGATTGTTTCAAGAGAACAACAGAGAAGACTATCTCTGTGGGTAATATTTTATATCAAGGGTTGCTCCTAATGTAAAGAGTAGATGTCATTATTTCCTATGGGCTAGATTGATAGGAAAACACATGTCTTGACCATCAATCTCTTTGGATATATAAAAGGAAGTGCAAATGTACAATGTTCAACCTGTTCAACATTTATGAGTTGAAATCGTCTGAGAACAGAATACAAAACTACAGAACTACCCTTTATTGAGCAAATAACTCTACTCAATTCTTCTGGAACTTAGATAAAATGATGCTCAGAGTCTGCCTGAAAATTCAGTTTTACTGAGGTTGTACTAAAACCAATAGTGTTTATATTGAGTTGTCCACTGACTGGGTGTAGAACCTATGTCTCACGCTGAGATTTTTGTTATCATATTTTTCATGAAGCTAATTAAAGTGCATTGGTTTCTTTGGATATAAAGAAAGCTTTTATTTTGATTGCTTCACTGGATTTTTGTGCTTAGAGACTCTATACAATGATGTTGTCTACCTATGTTCCAAGAAGCCATATTGTGTTGAGCAAAACACTAGCCACCTCTGAGCCACAGTTTTCTAATCAATAAAATGGGGGTGATAATCATTCCTACTTCACAGGGTTGTTGTGACAACAAGGTAAGGTCATGCATGCAAATGTGTAGCTCATAGCCTGGCATTTGCTCCACATATATTAGCTACATGGTTGTCATAAAGTACCACAGGCATTTATCTACATTACCTAATAAACATGTTATCTAAACAATGAAAATAATATCACACAAAGGGTCTTCCCTTTTGAAATCTCAATATATGCTCTCTAAAGGAATCAGTTTTCTTGACTGTGGAAATCAAGCTCATTTTGTACTTTAGAATTTTGTAAAATACCTCAACTATGAAACTAGGTCAAGATTCCCCAATTTAGACTGTATTGCAACCTCAGGCTGGGGCTGCATATGAGCTGGGTGTGTTGCTACTGCAATATATAATGATAAATATGTGCTACAGGAAGGTACTGTCTTCTATCATGTACAGTGTGGTCTGAGGGGAGTTGTTTAACCTTCTTGGCTTCTGTTTTCTCCCCTCTAAGTTGGACAGTGTCATTACACACCCCCAGTAGGCTTATCACAAGTATTAAAGGAGATAATGCAGGCGAGCCACGTAGATGGGAATGTGATGGGCTATGGATAAGTGTTAGCTGTTGTCTTCATATCATGCGCTTCCACGTTTTGTTCAGCACTGGAAATGGCTATTTGGTTTAGTGCTCAGTGACAGCACATAACAGTAGAGTGAGCACTGGGCTAGGAGTCACAAGCTTTGGAGGGGTACTGCCACCTCCACCTCTCCCTCACCCTCTCTTGGCCTTGTCTACTCTCTGGGCTCTGTTTTCCTTATCTCAAAGTCAAGGGACATGGATTGGATGACTGGTCTTCATCAGGTCTCTGCCACTTCTGAGGTTCTGTGATTCATTTACACGCCCATCCAACACATTCAATTTCCTCGCTGAGTTGCAGCCAGAGTTGTTGTCACAGAAAGGCAGTAAGCACACCCCCACTGTCCTCACGGTTCCCTGAGCTAAGTGGCTTATCTAAAGACCATTTAAAGAGAGTGAGCAATAACTTTTGGAAATGGCTTGCTATGCTTGGATGGTTGACTGAATTCAATTTAAAAGAACAGACAGTTTAATTTATTGAAATAACCAGGGCTTTATTCTCTCTAAGATACCAAATCATCACGTTAGCTGAATTCTTTTCAGCCACGTGTTTGGGTGCCACTCGAACCCGGCATTTTCCATTTTGTTGCCTGGCTTGTATGAAGTTAGAGGCGCCTGAATCCCAACACTCCCTGCTTTATCAGGACAATGAATAATCACTGACTTACTATTAATGAGCCCCTCCTATTTTGAAGGTACCAATGATCAGTTGTGTAAGATGCTAGATAATTAGAGCTGCACATAATTATAAATGCCTACTTTTGCAGACAAATCACCCTTTGAGAATACAGTATCTATTTAGGGGCTGGAATTCTATATGCATGGAGAGCGTTTGTTTGGATCAAAATCATGGGCTCCTTGGAAGCCTGGTAACCTCAGTGGTCCAGACTCACTAACATCAACCCCCAACCATCCAGCTACTCTCTTTGCCTTGTAACAGCTTGTTTTGCTTGTTTTAAAGATTGTTTTAACAGAGCTCTATTATTAAACTAACAGCAGCTCTGTGGGAACAATAAGGTAGAAATACAAAAGGAAGCCAAAGGCTTCAGGCTTTATTTAAGCAGCTGTAATTTCTCTGGACAATAAAAAACGGCTGTTAAGGTTTCTAATGAGCATCTGTAAGGCCTTAATAAAATGAAAATTGTAAAACGTTAAAACAAGAAAGCATTTTCTCTGGGCTTAGCATCTCATTGCTTCCGCCCGCCTTCCTTTCCTTTGAGAAGACAACACTTGCCTTTCCCAAGGGGCAGATGTTCCAGAAACCCGTTGCCACATCTGAAAACTAAAGAGGGGGTTTGGGGGCAGGGGAGGGAAGCAAGGAAGCTCCGTTATAAAATGTGAAGCTGCCTATGCTCTTGTTTGAACACTGGTTTCCTCAAATATATATATTTATATCATTACTGAGCCAGGTGTGTTGGCGCATGTCTGAATATCTAGCACTTGGGAAGCTGAGGCAAGAGGGTCATGATTTGGGGGCCAGCCTGGACAATACAGCAAGACCCTCTCTCAAAAACTAAAACACACCATTGGGTTTTAAATGTAGATTAAATGAGACAATAATGAAAAGCTTTAAGAGAACTACACAGTGCACAGGAAATAACTAACAGTCATGATAATATAATATGGTGGCTGTCAGAGTACATGGAATAGAACCCTTACATTTATAAAGCTGACATTGAGTTCCTTGGCTGTGTATCCTCTCTGGAGATTGCGCCGGGCATATACGTCATAGTCACGGACAATTCTGGTGATGATGTCTGATGTTGAAATGCCTTCTGTTCTTTGAGTTGGAACAAACATGCCTGTGCAAGTAACAATAAAAAGATAAAGATGGGATTACCTCAGCCAGCCTCTTTCCTTTAATGATCTTTTTTGTTTTTTTCTTGCTGGATAAAGTTGGAGCTTTTGGTGAGGCAGGTAAGCCTTTTCTGGCCCCAGCTCATAGGCATCATGCCAGACTTGGTCCAGGAGACACCATCCACTCACCTGCCTCCTGACATTTGCTCATGCTCAGCTCTTTCTTTCTATCCTAGGTACCCATTTCCTACCCCTGTCATCCACAAAGTTCTTCCTCACCCTCAATGATCCACCTTCAAGGTTGTACCACTGTGAAATCTTTCCTGAAATTAACACGAGAACCCACAGCATTTTGGACGTAAGGGTATCTTCAGATAACAAAATCAAATGTCTGATGCATGTTTCTGTGTGTGTGTGTGTGTGTGTGTGTGTATTTGTTTCTTAAAAAACCAGAAGTGTATATTTTGAATGAAGTTATGCTTTCATTGTCTTTGTATTCCCAGTGCCCAGATCAGTGCACATGAAGGTGCTCAATTAAATGCAAAGAGAATGTGTAAGTGAATGAATAATAACAACAGAGTCACTGAATGAGTCAGATCACAGTGAATCTTCTTCCCTCTGGAAGTCTGCATCATATTATCTCCACAGGAAAAGAAGGGTCATTGTTGTCTCTGTCTAGGGATATGTGTGCGAGGTGCTAGATGATTTTATTGCCTCTAAAAATCCTCTCCTGCATGGTACTTTCACCACTCCAAGACCCTTTCATCTGGAATATGAGGAGAAGAGTGGAAATAAATAAGCACAAGGGTGCCAAGTTTTAATGCTTCTAGTCGATGTCCTTAAAGTCAAAGACAAATTGGTGTTTACCAGCAACACAGGCTACACATGTGTCACAGATGCCAACACAGTAAGAACTGAATTCATGCTCGAAATTCTGTTGTCAACCAAAATCAGGTATTGGCAATTGAGAAATTTCTAGTTCATATCATTCTGACCTCTTAGATCTGTCCTATATCAGCTGCATGGTAAAGCCTGAGGACGAGAGTACTGTGTTCTCAGTTTATGGCAAGTCACTCAGACCTCTGAAGGTAAGCTGCTTGACTTTAGTTTCCCTCAATTAAGAAGTTAGCTAGACAAATCTGGGCCATTGTTCTTTCCCGTTGTCCATATTTAATCAATGTATATAACAAACCAGTTCCTCAAATGCTTCTGTAATTCAACCACTTTTCTCCATCTTTAGCCAAACTCAAACCAACTTGTTCAAAGATTACATCAAGAGCCTCAAAATCAGTCCTTAGCAATGTCACAATGTGTGTGGGGGGGGGGCGCACACACAAGCCCATAAATATAGGTACCCAGGGAGGCTAAACAAGGGTATCAGATTCCTGGAGCTAGAGTTACAAACAGTTGTGAGCTGACTGGCATGGATGGTAGGAACTGAACCATTTGGTCCTTTCCAAGAGCAGTAGGTACTCTTAACCACTGAGATGTATCTCCAGCTCCAGTGATGTCATTTTTGCCCACTTAAACATGCACAGCCAAGATACACAAAGTCACCCTTCTAAATGTAAGTTGCATGCCTGCCTGCCCATTCCTCTTCATTGGCTTTCTACTATGTTTAGAATAAAGCCTTTAACTTGGTTCTACCACAGCTTACATGGTCCCCTTCCTGTACTTCCTTCTAGTCTTAGTCTCATCTCCCAGCCTCTCCTCTTTACACTTTCAGCCAAGGCTCCTGTACTATCCAAAGGACTGGGATTGTTTTGCTTATAGTCTGTGGTAATTTGAATGTAATTGGTCCCCATAAGCTCATAAGGAGTGGCACTATTAGAAGGTATGGTCTAGGTGTGGAGTAGGTGTGGCCTTGTTGGAGGAAGTATTTTACTGTGGAGTTTGAAATGTCCTTTGCTCAAACTCAAACTATGCTCAGTGTGGAACAATTAACTTCCTGTTGCCTGCAAATCAAGATGTAGAACTCTCAGCTCCTTCTCCAGCACCATGTCTGCCTACACAGCACCATGTCCTGCCATGATAATAATGAACCAAACCTTTGAAATTGTAAGCCAGCCAGAATTAAATGTTTTCATATTTAAGAGTTGCCATGGTCATGGTGTCTCTTCACAACAATAGAAACCCTAACTATGACATAGTCTAGGAAGTTGGGCCTGTACCTAGCCACACTGGGCTTCTTCAGTGTCCTAAAACTGTCAGCTCTTCTCTGTCTCAGTTTCTATCTGCTTAACTCTTGGTCACCCATTGGCTTTCTGGTTTAGTATCAAGGAAATTAAGCCTCAACTCCCAAAGCAAGTCTTCCTGTTTGTCAGCCCTGCTGCTCTTTTCCTTCAAATACTGCAAGGTCTTTGATGGGACACTTCCATTAGCAACTGTCTGTCTGGTCTATGATCTGTTTGAGTGACAAGACCACACCCTTCTCGTTTGCTTCTACAGTCTTGAAGCAGGTAACAAGCAGATGCTATCAGAATATTTGCTGAATAAACAACAAGATGAATACTGATGCTAAACACACTTCCAAATCCAATTCTCTCTGAATGTTTCTGTCTTGCTTCCCAAGGTACCCCCTTTGGGTCCTTTAAAAACATGTCATCTGCACATTCACAGTGTCAGCAGCATGGTGGTACTGCTGATCTTGGAGACACAGCATCTGACTCTGACCCCATGGATCAGAGGACAGAGTTGGCATTGGCCACTAGGTCAGAAACATCTATGATCATCTTCTAGGAGGGTGAAACCAAATGACTAAAAATGAAATGGAAGGCAGAAAATGCAAACATTTAACACGTGGATGCAAAGTAAATTCCGACTAGACCATGTTTGGGAACAGGGCTTTGGCAGGTGGTGGGTCCCCATGTGACCCCAAGCCAGCAGGTCTAGGACAACATCCTCACCTTAATTGGAACAGTTGAAGACTTCCTGGAGAAAATCCATCCTACTTTTCTTCAGGATTGATGAAATGTGAAGGTTATTTAGTTACTAATTGATTTTAGCAACTCACTTAGACACAGGGGACATGAGCTTGCCTTGTCTAAAGTCAGAGACTTGAGAGTCTGTGGCTGAGTGACTGAAAGCAGATTTGGAGCTGGGGGAATTTGCTTTGGCTTCTTGAGAGGTAGGTCTCTGAAAGAAGCCAAGCCCTCTGCTGACATAATGAGGCACCCAGCTTCCTCCAAATCCTAATTATTGCTCTGCTAAAAATATTCAGTAATGAGCATGATCAGAGAACCTTTTTTATCATGCTTTTCAGAATTGCAGCGTTTGGTTATGGAGCTATTTTAAGAAGCAGCAAAGCACATGTTAATAAAGCAACTTTCAACAGTAGTAGTCACTATCAGAATGATAATGAGTAACGTGGACCTTACAGTCTATTTCATCTCAGCTCCATCTTTCCATCCAGCTTTGCTAGAGGATTTTGACACTCGGCTCTGACAAACAGCCCAACATCACACTGTTTTATCTATATGTGTGATATCTTGGCTTCGTTTAAAGTGATTTTTGACTTTCCAAATAAACCAGAGTATAAAAGTTGCCCATGGATGCTCAGATCACTTCTGAGACTTCTCTTCTGCAGTAGCCACTCTATGGCCTTTTTTATGTATATCCAAACTCCATATATACAGTGACTCTTCCTCCTGGTGAGGACTTGGAGCAGATTCATGGACCATAAGGAAGGACCACTGGACAAACAAAGTCACATACCCTTAGTCTTAGGCCTGCACTTCCAGGTAAACAAACCACCACCTGACTCTTTAGAAAGTGAACTGTGGTGAAGGATTCACATTGATAACTGGCCCATGTTCCATTGCATGGCCCCATGGGCAGTAATAATTGGATCCAGTGGATTACATTATTTTTACAAAAAGAAGAGGCCATGCAAGGTAGCAGATGAGAGTCCTGGGGGCCTTTGGAAGGCTGTGGAGAGTATTTGAGTTGGCCATGATCAAGATACATTGTATACATGTATGAAACTCTCAAGGAATAAATTTAAGAAGTTAATGTTTTAGACAAAGATACACACACATACACAAAATAAGAATATAGAAAAACAAACTCTTCAAAGAGGCCCACACTACCTTGCCCTTGAATCTGGGTTAGCCTCCGTGACTTGCTTATACTTAAAGGTTATATAGATGATGGTGTGTGACTTAAAAGGTAGGCCACAGGAAGCCAGCTCTCTAGATAGTTGCTTCCAGCCTTCATGTTGGGAGAAGCCCAGGCAACATGGAGACAATGTATTGGTGCCCCAGTGACAAACACAGCTGAGCTCCTGGCTTACAGTTAGATGACTGCAGCTCCTATCAGCATCTAGCTATAGCAGTTTAAAAGAGTCAAGCAAAAGGCTCTCAGCCTATGGTAGAGGGCTTTCCCAGTATATGAGAAACTCCTCAGTTTCTCCTCAGTTTAATCCTCAGTACCACATTAAAATAGACAAACAAACAAACACTTAATGGACATGGTAGCAAATGCCTTTAATCCCAGCTCCTGGGGAGCAGGAGCAGGCCATCTCTGGGAGTTCTAGGCCAGCCAAATATACATAGTTATTTCTAGGCCATCCAGAGCTACAGATAAGAGTTTGTTATAATAAATAAATAAATAAATAAATAAATAAAGCGCTCAGACAAGGCCCCCATTAAGACCCTGCGCCACAAAAGTCATGAGCAAAATCAGTCTTAAAATTACTACCTTGGGAGTCATTTTGTTATTCCTCCTTTACTACAGACTAATCATCCAGGGAGGAAACTACTACCAGATTCCAAGGCAGCTAAGGTATTCTTGAGCAGGAATGCAATTAACCTTGGGGTCTCTTAGCTGGTCCTAACCCCTGGTCTATGTCTCTGCTATTTTTAGGGATCTGTATGTTGACTGGCAGCTCCAACCTTAAGAAAGTACTCATTCCCCCATGCCATGACCCATCATGATGTAAATCATGCACCAACCACCTTTTTTTCCTCATTCCCCTCTGTACAGTGTTGCTCAGCTTCTCTGCAGCTTTCCACATTGGAAACATGTGAAATGTCTTTTCTTTGAACTCCTTACAAGCAAGGTTGGGACTGAAAAGTGTCAGGCCCCCAGTTCTTACTAAGTTCTCCTGAGTTCCGAGGGATATCTTGGAAAGAGAATGTACAGACCTGGCCGCTTCAGTAATAGTGGGCATTCTGACACTATGTATATACATACTGTAGGCCTAAAGCATCTATCATCTTGTGCTTGGCCATGTGCTGTGCTGGACAGGAAAATACCTCACCTGCTTCCTTTATGTGCTTATAAACATCATCAGAACCAGCGGAGGAATATGGAATATCATCATGAGCCACAAAGTCAATCTGTTGAAGAAAGAGAGGATGGACATTAACACTGGCATGGAGGGGCAGGTTTACAGATGTGAAAGGGACTGATGACTCCTCCCACATACACACCCCAGTGCCTTTTAAAATAAAGCAGTACAGAATGCTGTCCTCTGGGTTAAACAAGCCATTAACTACCTTCATCAGAGCTGCTGTGACAACTTTCAATAGCCCCTCATGATCAGCCTCACAGAAGCAGGCCCTGTCATCTGAGTTGTGACACCAACTTTTATCTGGGCTTCCTCTCCAAGCCATCCTGCTGTCAGGAGGGTGGTCCTCCTGGGATGGTTAATCTTTTTATTATCAACTCAATGAGATCTAGACTCAGCATGGAAATATCTCTGAGTATGTCTGTGGGGACCTCTTAGTTAGGTTAACTGAGGGGGAATACCCACCCTCAACGTGGGTGGCATCGTTATATGGGCTTGGCTCCTGAACCAAGTCAAAAAGAAAAAGTGAGTTGAGCACAAGCTGTCATTATTCTCTGCATCCTGACTCTGGATGCAGAGTGACCAGTTGCTCCTTGTTTCTGCTTCCACACATCCATTGTCATAGAGCTTACAAAGTAAGTCCTTCCTTTCCTCCTTCCTTCCTTCCTTCCTTCCTCCCTCCCTCCCTCCCTCCCTTGCTCCCTCTCTTTCTCACTTTCCCTCCCTCAAGTTGCTTTGCTGAGGTATTTTGTGGCAACAATGAGACAAGTAACTAGCATATATACTTTTTGAACAATTTTCCTCTGGTCTTCATGCCTGCTTATCTTCACCCCTGTTTCCTACTACACCAGGTAAACATTCTCTGCACATATTTTAAAGGCCTTCACAGTCAGCCTTTATTTCACCTTGAGAGGCTAGTTAGATTAACAGTTAAATTTGCCAGGGTATCATTGCTACCTACCACTTAAAAGTTATACAACTCACAAAGTAGAAGGAAGAATTTAATCAGGATTCCTCAACCCCGATACTGGTGACAATAGGGGCTAGATAATTTGGTGTTTGTGTGTCTAAGTGTCCCGTGCATTGGAAGACACTGAACAGCATCTCATACCTCCACCCACTAGATGTCAGTAGCACCCTCTAGCAATGACAACCAAAATGTTTCCAGACAAATTTGGGATGCAAATTCATGGAAGAATTTCTGGATTAAATGATATGCAACAGTGCTTAAAATATAAACTGATATATGGTAAGCAATATGTATTTCATTATTTCTGTTACTAATTCTATCCTCAGTACTTAAGCTTAGTTCCCCCTCTTCAATACATAATAATAATAATAACTCAGGGTAGCCATGATACCGAACTCACTTCATATAATAACAAAGTCCTTTGCACAGTGCTGGGCATATGGTAAATAATAAATGGCATTCATCATGGTCATTATTAGTATCCTCTAAAATGCCTGTCATATGTTGAATATACAATATATGCTAAGTAAAAAAAGTATGATTACTGGTAGTAAATCATATTGTAGTTTTTCTTTTCTTTTCATTCTCACCAGGAAATTGTCTCCTCTGCTATTACCCATGCACATTTATCAGTGTTCTCTATTCTCTTCTGCATTGCGAATTTAAAAATAGAAAAGAAAATTCTTAGAACAGCTTAATCTTATTTTTTTGTACTGCTTATAAAAGGAAAGAATAGCTCCTAGTGTGGGGCTGGTAGGCAGATACAAAGAGCATAATTTGATGCAGATCAAAAGAATGTCTCATGTTTTCAGCTAATAAAAATCTTATGTCAGTAGGAATCTCAGAGTCACAAAATCATAGCTATAAAGTTCTTCCCTTAAAGCCTCACCCCTGACCTACCAGATAAGATGTGTGTTCCTTTGTTCCATGCTTAAGAATGCCCATGAGCCTGTGAGGACCAACAATGATGCTGGTGATGGCAGGAACAATGGCATCTTTGGAGCTCCTGTCACAGGTCAGCCAGCTTTCCAAGTATGTTACTTGGATTCTTTCACTAGCTCCTTAAAAATTGTCCCACAATGAGGACAGCAGTCTCATCCAGTTCTATGGTCAAGTAACTGAGTTCAGTGTGATTAAGAATGTTGCTCATGGTTCTCTAGCTAGAGGAAGATGGAGGCAGCATTTGGACCTGGCTAGCCAGGCTCTAATACCTGCACTCAAGGCAAGGAGAAGATGGTAGTCCTTAGTTTGGGGCAAAAGAGAGGTGTTACCTCTATTGATGCCACATGTTAGTCCCTAAAACTTCCCCTTTAAGAAACAGGGAGAGTCTCTAGGTTTTCTGCAGTCTCAGCTACAGAGCCAGAGTCCTAATCCTGTTACAGAAGAATTTGAGAGAAAGACAAGTACCTTGTGTTTTTCCAGGAACTCTGGTGTGAGAGTCCATGGTGCATCTCTGATGACTTCGTCCACATAGCGGCAGTGTCTGAGAGCTTCATATCTCTCTGCCTCATTCATCACAGTAAAACCTTTGAATTTGTGAGTAAGGTCATCGCTGCAAACTGAAACAGGCAAATGTATTAAATACTGTTGCAACCCACCTGTGGTAGACCTGGTCTCTTTGGCAAAACAAAAGGAGTGTGCTTTTACTAGGTACTTGGCACCATTGAGCTTAGGGTTTGTTTGTTTGTTTTTGTTTTTATAGAAACAAAGGATTATGAGGGGAGAACAAACCTAAATCCACTAGCAATTCAGAGTTTCATTTTACTGTTAATTAACTGCATTCTCTTCTGAGGCTTTTATCAAAATTATTCTGCATACTATCTAATGTGGCTTTCCTATCTTTTCATCCTCCTGGCTCACCATTTGGTGAGTGTTATTCAAAAGTGAAATGACCAGATGAAGCCAGATAAGGGACAACAAAAAGAGAGGAGCCATGAGGCCTCCACTGTACAATTCTTTTGCAAAATTATTGTACTTAGTAACCCAGTTAGCAGACACACACACACACACACACACACACACACACACACACACACACACACACGGAGGAAGGGAAGAGGGAGGGAGAGGGGAGAGAGAGATAAATAGAGATAGATAGATGAGAGAGAGAGAGATCTATTTCTTGGATAGAGATTCAGTTATTACACATTAGGCCACACAATGAAGAGATGAGAGAACAGAACCTTCCCATAACGTCCTGTCCTGTCAAGATCTCAGGTTCTAAATACTTCAGACAGGAAAGGAGGGTTTTTTTTTTTATTTAATTTACTTGAAAGTGTTCTAAAATGAACTAAGCAAAAGTCATACTTACTCGCCTACATTTTGGTTGGCTACAGCAGATTTCCTCGTGTTCCCTGTGAGCCAGGAAGAAAGGTCCCTATACCTTCATTATTTATTTACCCAGATCCTGCTGAGCATCTTGTTGAACCTGGTAAGAGCTGCCCTTACCACTTTTTGCAGTGAGACCCCCCCCCTTGGAGTATTATGTACACATAGCAAACTCTCAGATATTAAGGAAAGAAGGTAGCATTTATAGACAAGACTATCCTCTTTTATTCTGGAACTAAATTATGTTCCGTCCCCTGAACCAAATCTGGCCATAGAGTAAGTATAGCCAACTGACATGCTCAGCATCCAGAAGACTTGCCTTTAGAGCTCCTTCAAACATCTAATAACCAAGTTATCTTTATGGAAATATTCTATTGGCCTTGGTGTTCTCGGTCAAAGGCTACAAAGTTTCAGTCAGACTGGAGGAATACACTTTAGTGATCTAGTGCATTGCATGGTGACCACTTAATGATAAAGCTTGGTCTACTTGAAAAGTGCTAAAACAGATTCTAAACACTCTCACAACAACAAAGTGAAACCAGTGAGGTGGTGGATGTGTCATCATATGGATAAAATTACTATATAATTACCTTGATTTCTATCATGTATATATAGATCAAAACATCAAATTGTAGTTAATAAATATACCCAAGTATTATGTCAATAATAGTCATGTGTCCCTTAATAACAAGGGCAAGTTCTGGGAAGTGCTTTGCTAGTTGATTTCATGAGTGAGCAAACAGTGAAGCATGCATCTATACAAACTTAGGTGGTACAGGTCCATAACTAGATGTTGCCTTTTGATTCAACCAAGAGACACAGTAAATACAAGATGCACAGGGATACCCATGTAAGATAGAGTAATGATTTACAGTAAGCTATTTAAATAAGTAGCTATACTCAAGATTAACAATAGAAAATAGAGCATGACAAGGGTTTGGTGGTAAATACTTACAACCCCAGAACCAGAGAGGCTGAGGCAGGAGGATCATGAATTTGAGGCCAGTCTAGGATACATAATAAAGCCCTGCCTCAAACACACAAAAAAGTATAGTATAATAAATATTTAAGCCAATAAGATAGTTGTATCTTATCATTTCCAAGTATTGTGCAGTGCACATAATTGTATAGACTGTACTTTTTGGAGATGGGGAGTCAATGTATAGACTCAGCCCAGGCTGACTTTTAACTTGAGATCCACTTGCTTCAATTTTCTAAGTTGTGGGATTATAGGCCCCCATGGCCAGTGTGACTGTTTTCATTTTCTGATGAATAGTACCTTGTCATAGTAGATTCTCTTTTTATTTTTTTTTTAAATTTTATGTGCATTGGTGTCAGATCCCCTGGAAGTGGAGATAGTTGTGAGCTGCTATATGGGTGCTGGGACGTGAGCCCGAGTCCTCCTGAAAAGCAGTCAGTGCTCTTAACCACTGAGCAATCTCTCCAGCCCCCCCCCCACAGTAGGTTCTTAATGAAGACTTGTTGAGTGAAATAATAGTATCTGATGCATAAAGATGCTCAATAAATGTTGATTATTATTTTAAATTAGTCAATAAATTTTTATCAGCAAGTACACTTTGAGACCACATATGCACATGAGACTAATGAATCTGTAGGTACACACAAAAACTATATAGCTCCTATATATTTATATTTTCTTTTTAAAAAAGATTTTATTATGTATACAGTATTCTGCCTGCATGTACGCCTGCACGCCAGAAGAGGCCGCCAGATCTCATTACAGATGGTTGTGAGCCACCATGTGGTTGCTGGGAATTGAACTCAGGACCTCTGGAAGAGCAGCCAGTGCTCTTAACCTCTGAACCATCTTTCCATTCCTATATTTACATCTTTAATAAATGCTTTCTGAGGTGCTTTCTGTTGTGGCAGTTTAAATTATCAGAACATCAACTACATAGCTGAATCATTCAAAGAGCTTGTTAATAAAAAGATGTTTGAATCGTACATGGTGATACACAGCTTTAGGCCCAGAACTCTGAAGGCAAGGGGATCTCTATGAGTTCCATGTCAGCCTGGTACACATAGTGAGTTCTAGTCTAGCCAGAGCTACATAGTGAGACCCTATCTCAAAAGAAAAACAAGTGTGCAATCACTTAATTCACATTACCTCACAATGGCTCTTGTAGCCATTTTTCTCTGTTTTTAAGATCACACAGGAGTCAATGTCAGCTTTACCAAAACCACTTTGTTTAAGTCACTTACAGTACGCAGGCATCAAAGCCATGGTGCAATCTAGAAAATTGTGTGCAGTGGAGGACATGAAGTAGAAGCAGTTAGCAAGGCGGCACCTATGTAACTTTATTGCCTCCTTTGTCAGTGTGTGCAGAATTTTAGAGCCCTTCCAATCAAAGGGGAAACAATGTGCATGTTATCAATGCTTTTAGTTTTAAAAAACTCATCTTTACTCCTGATAAATTTCACCTGCAGTGAAAACCGGTCTATAATGGCTGTCTGTTGTAGTATTTTGCCTCAGTTGCATGTATCATGGAATGTTCTTTATCTGGCCAGCATTACCTAGAGGTAGCACCCTTTTAAATAGTTAAATAAATATAATGAATTTTAAAAAAAAAGTGTGTGTGTGTGTGTGTGTGTGTGTGTGTGTGTGTGTGTGTGTGTGTGTGTTCTGTTCCTTGAGGTTTTGATTCAGTGGGTCTCTGGTGAAGTCCACACAGCTCTGTCTTTGACAAACTTCATGGTGATTCTGATGCTTGTAACATTTGTAAGTCTCCCGAGGCATAATATGAACAGCTTGACTAAAGAGACCTACTTGTCTACTTATCTCTAAATCATCTATCATGGTCAGAGGCAGGGCAGGTAGTAGGGCCATATTGACTATGCAATGATTCATTGGTTGTGTCAGCTTTTGATTCCATAAATAGTAGCCATTTATGGGCCATATTAGTCTATTTAAAAACAGATCGAGGAGTTTATAGATGGCCTGTCAGAACTTTATTACGATACTACATCAGGATTCATATTGAGTAGAAGTGGATTTCAGATCTGTCATTTTTATATTTCAGAGAGCATAAAACTTGGTCCAACCTATATGCTTCCCCTTTCTGAATTGGCTCCTGAGCAGTTTCATATGACTTTTACATGACCAAGATACCGGCCTCCTGATAGGCTGCAGAGAAAACAAACATCCTGTTTATGTTAACACATAGCTCCTTTCATACTCAGGAGTGACCTCAAGAAGCAGCTGAACATGCTGACCCGCATTGTCTAAACATTAATTACTCCCAAAGCAGCATTGTTGTTACTGAGTCTTGGCAAATGCACTCTGACAAGCAGATGGAGAACTCCAAGCAGTGGTATTCCGTGGATGAATTCATTGCATACTCTGGGAGCTTAGGCTGCAACTAACCTATCCTGGCAGCTCGGTGTGCTCAAAGTGAAGCACCCTGCAGAAGAGAAAAACTAACATAGGACTTAAATTTTTGGACAACAAAGAATCAGATTCTAATCCCAGTTCTGCTCTTCTTTTCCTGGGACAGCTGTTCTGATTGTCTGCTCTTTGAAATAGGGGGACATTTTAAGAATTCAATTGGATGAGCCACATGAATAAAGAGTAATGCTTTAAAATATTAGCCATGTATTAGTACTTATAATAATATAGGGTGTTGGTGGAAATACTCCTTTGGGCTTTGTGTTGTCTTTCCCTTAATTCCAATTGCTTGTCTGGGGTTCTTGCTACCAACTCCTTGTTGGTAGAAGTGCTAATGTTGAAGATGCTGGTAGACACTTTGCTTCTTGGCTAGAGCTCCTTGAGAAACTTGTATAAAGGAGAAGATAACAAAGGAGAAGATTCCTTCAAGGAGTGGGCAAAAATCCAAATGTCTGTGGAAACCACAGGAAGCAGGACTAGTGGCAGAACCTTAAACGAGATGAGGAATGAATATCTGTAGTAATTGGTAATCACATCTGGGTGCAGACCTCAAGTCCCTGAGCTGAAAAAGGTGCAATGACTTCACACTCTGCTGGCAATGATATGGCATTGGACGAAAAGGACAGTGGAGAAGGAGAGGAGTAGGAAGCCCCTCTCCTCTTTTTACAGATGTTTCAGACATTTGAGGGCATTTGAAGTAATAAGGAGAAACATTGAATTTCCCATCTGTCATGCAAAATGGAATCTTAGGAATACTTGTTTTTGTTTTTTGTTTTTGTTTTTTTAAGAACTCTTTTCAGTGTTGCCTATATTTTCATGTGACAA